GTTTTCTAGGTTTGACATTGATTTTGAGAAAGAGCCGATTGGAACTGGCAAAGATGGGAAAAGTGTCTACTTCAAGGATATCTGGCCTAGCAGGGGGGGGGGAATTTGTGAGAGAGGGGAGTTGTCATTAAAGTCTCAGTTCTAAATTTTCATTGCTAGCAAGAATGGACTTTGTGTAATTGCAACTCTACTTGTATTTGTAGGTTGACATTGACTTGTGTCTGTCTTATGCTGTGTTTTCTAGGTTTGACATTGATTTTGAGAAAGAGCCGACTGGAACTGGCAAAGATGGGAAAAGTGTTTACTTCAAGGATATCTGGCCTAGCAGCGCAGGAATAGCAGAGTAGGACGCCATTTTATTCTGATATGGATTACTATTTTATTTCATTTTGAAGCTTCATTTTATTTAAGTGGTGTTGTATTCCATTCTAATGTTAAAGTGTATAGATTAAAAAATTTGTAATGAAATTAATCAATTTTTATGCAATTCATAAATTTGTTCATAAGCTGCATTTCAATTTTGCCAATCTATTTGCATAAATTGTTGTTAAAAAAATAAAAAAAACCACCACCCTACTGCAACGTTTGCCAAACGTTGCCGTATCTCTACGGCAACGTTTAAAAAACATTGTCGAAAGTCTTCGCCAACATTCAAAAAACGTTGCAGTATCTTTCTACTCTACGACAACACCTCGATTTGCAATACACGTCCAAACGTTGCCGTATTGTTGTTGTTAAAAAAATAAAAAAAAACCACCACCCTACTGCAAAGTTTGCCAAACGTTGCCGTATCTCTACGGCAACGTTTAAAAAACGTTGTAGAAAGTCTTCGGCAACATTCAAAAAACGTTGCCGTATCTTTCTACTCTACGACAACACCTCGATTTGCAATACACGTCCAAACGTTGCCGTAGGCAACGTTTTTTGTTGTAGTGTGAAGCTTGTATGATCACTGATGGAAATGCAATGTTGTCTGGTCAAGTTGAGTTTTGATACCAGCAACTAATGTTCACTGAAGTTTTGATGAGAAGAAATAATTAAGTTACGGCAACGTTTTTTGTTGTAGTGTGAAGCTTGTATGATCACTGATGGAAATGCAATGTTGTCTGGTCAAGTTGAGTTTTGATACCAGCAACTAATGTTCAGTGAAGTTTTGATGAGAAGAAATAATTAAGTCTGAACTTCAATTCAGTTATATGTGCTATTCCAAACATTATGCTAAAGAGAAAATGAACAACTTATGGCTTCAGATATGAAGGCCTACAGTGTTGTTGTAAAGAATGAAATTTTGAACGAAAACAATTATATTTTTCATATGTGCCTTTTCTGATGTATCATTAATAAATGGCTCTGATTAGAAAGATGTTAGACTAGTGTTGTTATCTTGTTTAATTAGATGTTCCAGGTATGATATTCAGCATGCCAAGCTTGAATTTTTCACTTGTGGACAAAAAACATTAAAATACTTTGAGATGTTTTCTGTTATGTATAGTCTTACTTTTTGTCATAGTCAAAGCTGAAAATCTAGGGAACGCATATAAACTTACTTGATGGCATATAGAACTTGATTATGGTTGTATTGAATTTTATTGTCATATGTATTTGATTTTTATGTTTTAGTGTATTTATATTCATTGAAAAACTTTTTAATATTATTTGATTAAATGTTAATAAACGATCTCGCTATTATGGCCATCGACAATCAACAACCAATGGTGAACGACCACCCTATCTCATCAACATTCCTGGATCCACCACTGGTCATTGAACACTTGCCAAGAAAATCCAGCGCATTTTTCCTTTTCTTTTATTGACCAACGATGTTGTTGTTGAATATTACACCACTCCAGCGACCATAGTTTGGTCGCTATAGGTTTGACATATGCAGACCACATCCATTGGTTGCTAAAACAATGAAAAAAATGAGCGTCCTTTCCCCAATAGGTGTTTCAGCGACCATCGTTTGGTCGTTGTACGTTTTACGTATGCAGAGACCACGTCGTTGGTCGCTAAAAAATCAGGAAAATGTGAGGGAATTTCCTGCCAACTGTTGAAGCGACCATTGGAGGCGTGGTCGCTGAAACATGACACAACAGCAACCATAGTTTGGTCATTGTAGGTGTCTACTATGCGGGCAAAATGCGACATTTTTCCCGCCCTAATCTTTAACAACCAACTGAATGTATGGTCTGTGATACTTTGCATCAGTGACCAAATATTGGTAGCAAAAGAGCATAAAAAATTACTCCACTATTAACAGATCGAAACTTTTCCCAACCAATTTGTGGTCGGTAATAGTGTCTTATGGCAACCATTTTTAATTGCTTACTGAATCTTTGGTCGGTAGAGCCCATTTTTTGTAGTGAGATATTGTCTCAAAAGGTGCAATCTGAGTTGAAAAAGTTCATTCACGTTTTAACCCCTTCAACATGGCCTAAACCTTTACCCTTTATAGGCATGAACTGCGAAGGTTTACTTGTAATCTAGTCCATGAAGATCATCACCGACTTTAAGGAAATTTCCAGAATTTTGTGGCTACTTAATCTGGTATTTTAATTTAGTTTTTGCTTCTGGAATCATCCATAATTGGTGCCAAGGTGGAGAAGGTCCTAGACAAGTTGGTATATTATTTCTACCACCAATTGCAAGAATAATCTAGAATTATCAAAGACCATTTTCACCGCCAAGCTAGCACCTTCAACCACCGACCCTTTCGCTTATATATATGTGTTTGCTGTGTGCGTGTGTGAAAGTGAAGAAGAGTGATGAGAGAGTCTATTAGGGTGAGCAGAGAGATAGAGAAAGAGAGAAACATATACACAGAGAGAGAAGAGAGAGAACTTGTCGTGTTAGTGGTGTGTATCCAAAATTGTGTAAAAGTCCACTTCAAAAAATAAAATAAAATAATTTTTTTTTTTTAAGTCTAAAACTCAAAAATTTGGTATCAAAACGAGGTGGTTAAAGACAATTTTTTGAGCTTAAGGTGTTCGTGTACAAAAGGAGATTGTGAAGCTTTTGTGAAGCTGAGGAGGTAAATCAAGTCATGATCGGTGACCTACAAACAATAGGCGAAGTAAAGAAGCTCAATAATCAGAACTATATTACATGGCAAACTTGTATGGAATCGTATCTCCAAGGACAAAATTTGTGGGAAGTAGTTGGTGGAAGTGAGGTGATACCACCAGAGGAGGCTAGAGCTCTGAAGAAATGGAGAATTAAAGCGGGTGAGGCCATGTTCATTATAAAGACGATAATTGATGAAGAATTGTTGGAGCATATAAGAGACAAGTCTACACCATAGGAAGCATGGGACAATCTAGCCACTCTATTTTCAAAGAAAAATGACTTGAGGTTGTAATTGCTGGAAAATGAGCTACTCTCAATCACTCAAGGACAACAAACGGTAAGTCAATATTTTAATAAATTTCAATCCCTTTGTAGCGAAATTTCAGAATTAGATTCTTCAAGTAAGATTTCAGAGTCTAAAATGAGAAAAATAATTATACATGGTTTGAGACCCGAATTTAGAGGATTCATTGCTGCCATACAAGGTTGGCCACAACAACCTTCATTAGTCAATCTCGAAAATTTGTTGGCCGACCAAGAAGCATTAACTAAACAAATTTAGGGGTCTCATAAAGAAAGAAGAGGAACAAGCATTATTTAGCTATAAAAGAAGAGGTCGATACCGTCAACAAAATAATGAGGAATTAAAAGAAAATAAACATGGAGAAAGTTCTGCAACAAGGGGAGCCAAACAAAGTCGCGACAAGAGAGGTCAGCCGTTTAAGGGATTTCAACGAACTAATGGCTCATGTTTTGTATGTGGCAAACGAGGCCATTATGCTAGAGACTGTTGATTCAAGAAAAAGCCAGGAGAAGACAATATGGCAACCTCTAATAAGTAAGAAAAATACAACAATGACGAAGAATTGGATGATGTAGCATCGCTTGCACTAACGGAGTATACTCAAGGGAAGGAATGCAGTTCAGACCCCGAGGAAGAATCATCATATATAAATTCATTTGATTGAAGAATCTTTTTGTTTTTCATTGAATGTCCATTTAAATTCTCAGTTTTACATTATTATTGAACTAGCCGTTGAGTGTCAGAAATCAGAACGGTTAAAAATTTGACCGTTGGACTACTGGACGTCCGCCAGATCAGAAATTTCCGATTTACCCTTTTCTTAATTATTTTTGCAAGTGTAGATCGTTTAGAGACATTTTTCACTTTTTTTAAAATAAGTGTCATTGGTAAAAAAAATTTAAATGAAGATTTTTGTCACATTGAAAATAATTTTTATACAAGTGCTTTCGAGAAACGTTTATTTCGTGCATAAAAAATTAACTTACGAGTTTCTAGTGATTCATTGCTAAGAATTAAAGCGTTTTACCTTTACATATGAATTCAAATCATCTAAGTCTAATGTCTTCGATTGATTTGGCGCGAGTGTACGTTTTGTTGCTCGATTTTGAATTTGGTGGGAATGCTTGATTTGTCTT